TATCTATCTATTTATTTATTTATTTATCTATTTATTTATTTATTTACTTATTCTTAAACTTTGGCTGTGACAGAAAAACATTGCAAGCCATGAAATTACTTCAGTTGAAGAAATTGTCTTAAAAAACCTAACGGACTAAGTTTTTACCGACTAATTTTCATTTTACTCACTGAGACATTGTAACAAGCCATGGCTTGGTACGTGCCGTCGGAGAACGGATAGCATGGGTTCCACGACACGGTACTTCGGGCTGCATCAGGACTTGGAATATCCCGAAATCTGGAACGATTTCCGTTTCTATTTATTTAAGTGGGTCCTGGCATATAACAGGGTTTATTTTGTGACGGGGGATTCTTATTGGGGTTTTTACCCTAATTTCATCATAGAACTGCTTGAAAGTCCCACATAGTCCCATACCATTACCTTAAGGACATTCCCTTGAGTCAATATATACACGTTTACTGTCTTTGGGTTTACTGTCTTTGGTTAAGTTCATTGCTTGTACGTTTATTTACGTGCAGATGCGTGTCCATTTTTCCTCATCCTTAAATACGGACGTGTATTTGTTCATGTTTTTAGGTACACATACTTGTAAACACACACACAGGCACACACAAAACACACACACACACACACACATGCGCGCGCGCGCTCACACATACACACACTCATACACGTGCACTGATGATATACCTAGGTTTATTGCGCATAAACATACCTTGCTGTACCATTCTTATTCGCCAAAGCTGAAATATCTATAATCCCTACGCTGCTTTTACACATACAAGAGTTAAATCCAATACAACGGTGCTCATTGGTTGGGACGACACCACATGACGTAATGACGTAGCTGAGCAGCAGGACGCAATAAAGCTGAAATCGCATTCTGATCGTTGTCTCAGAATATCAATAGTTCTATAGTTCTTTTACTTTTTGCTGTTGATTTTGTCGTGCTGGTCCAACCGATTTAACTCCATCAAATGCACACGTCAATGTAGCTAACATGACCTACATTTGTTATCTTGAATTGCAGAGGGTATACAGAAACTGGTTGTGTCCGCCTCAACCCTGATATGACATTTGTATACTAGTGTGTTACCAATATCTTTTACGCAAAGCTTTCCTTTGCCTACTAACTTATCAAAGTTTACATATTCAAGGCGAATTATACAGATAGATAGAATTACACAGTTAAATTCCGGTCACAAATCTTTTCTTATTTTAGGTAAAACTACTTGTAGACATTTCGTTTTTTGCAAAAGCCTCTGAATGTCAAAACCCTTTGCTTTGCGTAAACCTGCCCAACCGAGTTCACAGCTTTTTGATATCCAGGAACCCATCCATGTCATCTTATCTTCTTTTATGGCCGGAATAAATATGACAAATAACTGAGTAAGTACGGAAAGATGAACCCTGTCATAATAAATACATTCATCAATCCCCAATAGTACGTTTAAGCGTTTGATGTAAAAATCCATCGTTACTTGGTCAATATTTCTTTCTTATCAATGGGCAGCTGTCATAAGAAATGGTTGGAGGACGAGTGATATTAATTCATAGAGGTAATCAAGCTGTCATTTGATTGGAATAACTTGTTCGTATTCAAAACAAGGAAAGATATTATTGAATATTGTCAGTATTGAATGGCTGCTATTACTCATAGTTTCTGTACTTGAAATTAATAATAACGTCTGCTTTAGTGGGAACACTTCAGTTGACGAATGTTATGAAAAATCTGAAAAATACTTTGGTGATTTTTTTCTGAAAATGCTGTTTAACAGTTCCAATTAAAACAAGCGTTCAAATACACATTAACGTCTGTAGGTGTTTCTTCTAAGTTTAACCCTGGCAAGGACTTAAATTCCTTTTCAATTGCCGCGTAACATGTCTTTCAACCACACACGAATGTGCATAAATACATATGATATCCTTCATATTGTCATTCTAAGTTTAAGCCTGTCAGGCAAGTAAATTTGGCATTTCTACGTCAGTCAGTAAAGATCAGTGAACGAACTGCATGCGTTTAACCATTCATTCTGGCACGTGAGCTAAAAGGTGCTCTATGAGACAATTTCCTGATTTCTTGGCATTTACCACTATGGCGTCGTATTTCAATATTCGATTCAATTATTCTTGTGATGGCTTGAGTGATGAAAACATTACCATTATCCACAGTGCATGACATCGATAATGAAATCAGTTCCGCGACTCGTTTGATTATACAATTCTGTTGTACACTAATGCACATTATTCACAATCACCCTTTGGCACTTTATCTGTGCCCTGTGTATCAAGTCTCACAATCACTTCCCTCTATACCCTTTACCAGTAAACGCCCTCATTGTCACAGTACTTGAGGATTACTTGTTTTATACCAGTAAATATTTGTAGACACCCTGAAAACCAAGGCATCTGACTCAGGCCTTATAAACGGACTAGGCGTATACTAACACTACTCGCAGATCTTTTAGCACTTACACCCATATAAACCACATAACCCACAAATTAACCAGCACTACCAGAGCGAATGAATGTTAGTACTAGGTATCGCTTTGTTGGTGCTAAATAATTGTGCGGTGTGTTGGTTTATTTTCGGGTTTTGTGATTAATATGGGCGTTAGTGCTAAAAGATCTGCCGGTAAAACGCCTAATCAGTTTATAAGGCCTCGTTAATAAACGAAGAGTATCAGCTGCTTCTTTTCCTTAGCTGTCTGCTTAGTTGTATGCAAATTAAACTAGTGGCATCTGCTCATAAACGACCACGCAATCAGCGCCAGCTTACCGCAAGTGCCCCTGTCTCTTTTTCCCCGACCTTAAAAGCCTCTAGTGTAAATAGACCCACTGTAATGCTTAGGTTGCCTGCTGAGCCATCGGATGTTTGGTGCCAGCAGTGCCAAGAAAAGCTCTGATGACTCTCCATTAGAGCACGGGGGTGTCCAATAAAATCAATACCCTGCCATTGTAGCCTTTTCCATCATACTGCAACAAGAAGAAGCAGAGTTAGTGATCCATTTCCTGCAGTTATTCTAAATAAGCGTGTGGGTGACTTCATTAGGGTGTAGCCTAACGTTTCATTTTGTGTATGGATATGGAAATTGCAGTAATAAGAACACATTAATGGCGTTTTGAATAAGCCTGAGAAAACTCTTGCTTAGGCTTCAATCTGACCAAAATGTTTCTCATAGACGCTGCTGCGCTCTTGTTTACAGTTTGTGTGAAGTATGGAGCCAACTGTATATAGACTGTTTGGAGATGTCATGCGGAATATTTGACGTACTGGAATCGTATCAAGACAATTGTAATGCAGTGCACTCAATCTAGCACCTGATTTGCAAAAAACTTTAAATAAGGCAAAAGACTGGTGTTATGTTGAGTTTAGGTAACGACTTGCTGAATTACATTTATTGGAATATTTAGTGACCAAGACCTTATCATAAATTTCAACAAGTGATAGTCCACAAATCGAAGATCACATAATGCAGATTTTAAGGAATTTGTTGCAATGCTGCAAGTCGGAGATGTTCATCGTCATTCTAGTAGTCACCAATACGTGCATGCAAGTACACGTGTCTGGCCAACCTGACAAGATATGTCCTGCAACACGGGAAGAAGAAGTCAAGTCGTTTGATGTTCGAATCTCGAAGACCAAAGTTCCCGTAGAAGCGACTTATTACGTCTGTCAACAGTTTGAGGTAGGTTGTGTGTTTTTAACTAGAATAATTGCTTCCAGACGTTAAACTAGAGGAAACGGAGGGCTAGAGGTTGTGCCGTCATGACAAAATCAGGGATAAGTCGCGGCTGGCCTTTTTCCAATACGGGTGAAAATCGTGTACAGGGTCACTTTTGGTGATTTTGTGTTTTGGACAGAAATGGGCGAAAAAAATGTATGCATTTTATATGTATGAATTGAATTGAATTGAAATTAACACTGTTCAGTTTTGCTTTGCAGACATCATCGTTTACTGACACAGCTTTTACAAAGTTTTGCAGATTTAGAAATACGTATTTGGTCTTGTTTGATCGCTTTATGCATCAAATGATCGAAATTCTATACAAAACTTTCTTTTGGATAACTGTTGTATTCATTGCCTTTGACATCCAAAAAAATGCACAAACCTGGAATCAGTCGACTGACGATCGATTATACTGGAGTTCGGTACCATTTCAGAGCAGTTCCCGTTTGCTTCAGAAAAGAAAAACATATCCGTGTTTGAAATCAGATATTGCCTCAAACCATACGCTTGCTTAATAATATTCAATTATATTGAGGATACATCCTTCTCTCTTGGCAAATTAATCTGCATGTTTTCTGTTAATGATTCCTTCGATTTATGAGTAACCGCGTGCCAATTAAGGCGCAAGACATCATAAATGCATTTGATGCAACAATTTGCTTCAAACAGCTAGGGTTGTATCTCATTAATCCCGGCTGGCGTCTGGTATGAAGCCAGTTGCCTCATTAGAGAGAGACAAATTAACGCAAATGAAGCAAAACGCAGTTTATCATCGTGACTGTCGTGCATCAGCTAGGCACTATGTTGGAGGTCGGCATAATGACCCCGTATATGCAATTGTAAGTAATACCTAATTTACAGAGGGATGCGACCCTATCACGGACGCGGCCATCCCGAAAAATTGGCAACTCTCACAAATCTCGCTAGTCCTTTGCTTTCGTCTCCTACATATTTGCGAAATATTGTGAACAGTTGCAAACGCAATACAGATGAAGAGTGACAAAGACGGATACAGTGTGACGGACTCTAAGAGAGACAGTTTGGGAGACTTTTGTTATTACTTTGTGCTGAAAGATATATATATATATATATATATATATATATATATATATATATATATATATATAAGCAAATTGATCCCCTTGCAATTTTCGGTCAATTTGCTGCGGCCAATTGAGAGAGTACACGAAAATTCGTGTAAATGGGGCGTTAAGGAACGATTGGCTTCCGTGCAATAGCGGGATTCTGAAGACACAAGGGCACCTGCTTATATGTGGATTCCCGGCACTGAGCATGTAATTGCCTGGCGCAAATAGAGGCGTTGAATTGTTCTCCCCTCTAATTATATTCTGAAAGAGTTTGCCCAAGACCGTGCTGATTGCACGGAAGATTGTGATGTCAAACATTGAACAAACAATCAATAGTTGATATACTAAGTGATAAGCTGACTCCTATTAAGCAACGTTTGAAGCTTAGATGTCTCTGCTTGTTGATATATTTATTTGCAAGATCTCCATTCAATGATGATACCCCTTTCACAACCTCTTCAAATACAGACATTTGACCTAAAATTACGAAAATTATCAATTGAATTGATCTAACCTTTCTTTGTAAAGAATGGACATTCAAACGGGAATAGTATATTTATAAATATGTCATTGCGACAATTCTTTATACACATCTACATCACAGGTATAACATGCGATGTCAATAAAGGTTTTCTACTGTAGCGACATAATTAGGTAATAAGTCATGTTAACATAGCATATGAAATGTACACGTTGATCGACGTATTGATTACGCACACAGCCACACACTGTTAACTTAAAAGCTTGGTTGGCAGAACGTCCTGTTTAATTTCCTGTTATTACCTGGCGAGTCAGATACGCTTCAATACAGATACCAGTACAGTCACCAATGACGAATGTCATTTATTGGCATAATACCCAATGTATATGCAATAGAATCAACTCCTGAAATTGCAGTCTATTGGTGCAGTTGGTTGTATACTGTTNCAATGACGAATGTCATTTATTGGCATAATACCCAATGTATATGCAATAGAATCAACTCCTGAAATTGCAGTCTATTGGTGCAGTTGGTTGTATACTGTTGTTGCAAATAGAAAGTCAATAAACACAGTCGAGATATCCGTCTGCCTTCAAATTGTTGATTTGCTCTTATCTACCGGGTGCCTAAAGACTTTGTGTTACTGAAATTTAAGTATTTGCATCACATTAATACATGTGTCCTGATTAAAACATGACTTTCATCAGCTGTGTTGTTTGCTATCATTATTGCCTATGGAAAGGGGCGGTTTCGCTAATATCTGTTTTTTATTTAAGATGTTCCTACCTTGTTTGCTTAAAAAAGTTTAGTATAAACCAAAGCGTTCAAAAAAAAAAAAAAACTTAAAAAAAAATGACCCGTTTCATGTTTAAGAGATTCGTGTAAGCTTGATCTACGCGTTACTGATTTACCAACTGCACCATGGGATTGGCATGCACATAGACATGATATAACAGAGCTTCAGTTCTTCCAGGTTCCCCATGCCGCTGCTTATCATGCTGTCGCATTTGAACCAATTATCGACAACAAGCGCGTCATGCATCACATGATACTTTACGCCTGTGATAATGACGTCGCTGTTCAGGTAAGAAATGTCAATGACACCACTTTAGGGAAGTTTCAGGGCGTTCCTCTTTTACTTCTTGCCCATGTCTTCTTTTTAACTGCAGTCAGGAAATGAACTATACAGCACTATATTGCTTTCAACTCGGTTTGTCTTCTCTGCTCCTCAATATCCTGAGTCTACTTGTGCCTGTTTCATAAATGTGTAGTAAAACTATTAGATTACTGAGCCACCAAAGTTTGGTTATATGTATTGTAAACCTCGTCTCACTATGCCTTATACCTTTAGGAAGGTCCGCACAAATGTGAAGAAAATGACTTAAAATGTGAAAAATGGCTAGCAACCTGGACCCTGGGGCTGGAGGGACAGATCTGTACTCACCAGAACTCTGGCGTCAGGTTTGGCAGGGGAAGTGTACAGCGAATGGCACTACAGGTTCATTGGGCCAACACAGAACTTAACACAGGTTACTTTGGTAAGCAAAACGTGGTGGATAACGAAATAATGTGACTGTATTCTTGGTACCAAGCTTTGAGTAAGTAAGATTTAGCTGTAAAAAAAACATGACAAAGCATTTACACTTAAGGATTCTGTTGGTATTTCAAGAATATTTGCTACAGTTACCCTGTATCTACGTGCTTGCTGATGATACGGAACTTTAATATAAATACAATGCCTCGGGATCTACATGCATCTGAAATGTCATATGGATTAAAATGCGCCAGTTTTCTATGAATTGTGCCATTTGATAACAAAAACCTGACCATTTCAAAGGTGTTTTGTTAGTCTTACATACTGGTACAACTCTTGTCGTTTCTCATTAATTTACAGACAGCTCCGGGATGAGTATCTTCTACACACCAAAGCTCCGCCAGTACGATCTAGGCAACGTGCAAATTGGACAAACTTTTCTAGAAATTCCACCATTGTCGGACCGCTTTGAACAACATGGCAGCTGCAGTTCAGACTGCTCTAGGAAACAACTCCTGCATCCTGTTTACTTCACGAAGACTAATTTGCATATGCATGGCGCTGGTAAATTAAATATTAGAGCATGTTCACTTCGCACGACGCTAGTTGAACTGTGCAGTATCCAATTAAAGATTTTGCTATATCCTACGTGTTCATAAACAAACGTGAACACACTCGCACATTTATGGTTTGCTGTATTTCATGCGAGACCATTCTTTTGTGGGGGCACTTTAATGTTTCTCCATATAAAAATAGATAAATTAATAAGAAAATTTTAACACAACGCAAATGCTTTGTATAATGGACAAACAAGAGACTATATTTCTTCTTCTAGGAGTAGCTGGTTCTTTAGAACAATACAGAGGTGGTCGTTTGCTGAATCTCATAGCTTACGACCCCTTTTACGACAACTTGAAACCCCACATCCACGAACACAATCCACCGATAGAGGTCCTTCCCGGCGATGAAATAGTGCTTCGATGTTTGTACGACACGCTCTCCCCGGAAAAGATGCGCGTCAATACTACCTCGTTCGGTCTTGGTTCAGATGTAAGGATGGGACCTTTAATAACAACTTTTTATATGCAGTCGCCTTACTTTTATCTATTATGAAGAGTTTAATATTATATTTTATAAGCTTCACACATGCTCTACCACGCACATGCAAATTACTGTTGCGTTTACTCATTTTTAGATTAATATTTCAATTTTGTCCACTTATACGAAATCCAACTATATCTAACTTTTGTTAGCCGTAGTTTCCATAAGTATTTTCTTCACATTTATTACAAATCATGAAATAGTCCAAGACATACAGCAACGAGGGAGTCATAAAGTCGTTTTGCCCGAATAAAAAAGTCAATTCTATTTTTTTCAGTGTATTTCATAACTCATTTCATGAGAATTTTTTTCATTAGCACTAAAACTTATTGATTCAGGATGAAATGTGCTATGCCTTTGTCAGCCATTTCCCCGCTTTGCCTCACTTTGACCGTTGCATTCAGTACCAGGACCTAGACGCCGGGGACTGTGCGCCCACTAGTAAGTATACACTACGCCTCTTTTCATGTATAACTCTTCTGATAAATGCATCTGACAGAAATACCACCAAGAGGAAGACATATATAGAGACACCATTTCCATTTAGAAGTTTTCTAAGCTTTGGGGAAAAAAATCACACACGTCAGATTTAGGCGAAAATTGCAAATTACGCCATTTTGGAATTTGAACGCCCCCAACTGTTTCATCTTTTAGCTTTAAATCATACTTTTACAAATTTATCCATGTCTTTTTTTAAATTTCAGAAGGGTGGATTGGAAATTGCCACGTGACATCTTTCTTGAAATCAGTTGCCTCAAAAATTGCCAGTGAGATTTTGTTTAAATGTCGCCCAGAACATTTCTGCAAACAACCGTGTTTAACAGCACTGGTGAAACTGTTCGGGCACGAGTGTATGCAAGTGAGTATACAGTATATGGCCAGACGTTACCGCAAATTGTTACATTCACCACTTGGGAATCGTTCCAATGAAATAAAATTAACCTCCGCAACCATCACCTACATATACTTTTTCAATCGGTGTAACGTGTCAAAGATTCCTCTAAGATAGAGAGTCCGCCTTCCATTCATTGGTACAGGTAAGCCTCGTCCTAGATTTTGACCCACTTGGGTCAGGCTAACCCTAACCATTATACCTAAATGGGGGAGGGGGGGGCGGACTTTCTGTTACACGAACCGTCAGTTTCGTCCCTAAAAAACCAAACGATATCAAGCATTCTGTTACGATGATATTTATTTATTTATTTATTTATTTATTTATTTGTTGATTGTTTGATTACAGGGCGATCTGACCCGGTACTTTACCCAGAATCAACTGATGGCAGTAGAAGGGTGGCCGGACATAGTGGATATCTACAACGACGTTGAGAAGAAGTGTTGATATATTGTCTTATCAATATTTCTGGGGTGCTCCATTCCAAAACACATACTTAATAGTCTGCCGTGCTCACATCAGAACCAACTCAATCGATTATAGCCTGAAGAACGTCACCGGACGAGCGTCATTGGACGGAGATCAGGTTGCCCAACCTCGCATTTTCATTTCTTAAGTGCGATGGGTGTTTCTGTTTCATATAGTTATCTGATGACGTTAATAAATCTACATGCAGACGCCTAAATATTTATTTGTACACAAATGAGGCATTACAGTAGATCATTTTGATGGAGCCAAACAAAAGCCTATCTGGCATGAAACACATTTCCAAACTACCACAGTCGTTGTTATCAATGTTATATCGGCTTTGTGTGGTTTGTGGATGGAAATGGTAACTTGTGGCAAGAGTAGACATTCCAAATCGATACGAGTTCCGAGAAATAGTGAAGCAAAATTGCAAAAAAAAAAAAAAAAAAAAAAAAATTCTAAATTGTTTTTATAATTTGTAGTAATAAATCCATTAAACACGATTATGTGAACAGAGGTATTACAGGTATTGCTTTTAAATACTTCTGAAAGAAAACTTCAATAAATCTCACTTTTGCTTTGCTTTGACAAAGAATATGATAATATAAATTTCAGTTATTATCTAGCCGTACCGGTGTGACAGGAATGGTAGGCCGGGGTCCCATGTGATTAGTACGGGTTAGGATTAGTTGGAGTATTGGGGTTAGTAGCCTATATGAGACGAATGTCACCTGTGCAAAGTAATGGGGAACAGACTACGGCCCCTAGCGAACTTCTATGACTGTTACACCGTTTTTTATGCAAAAAGTAATTTGTACGGACGCACGAGTGTCTGCATTCGTTTTCGCGCCTTTCCGATTCCGGGATCAGCGTATTGTTTCGCTGAACTGACATTTTTTTCTTTGCAACCGTGCATGCTACCGATCGCTCTATGAATGAACCGACCACATGAACGTGTTTCCTCTTAAAGTAATCAAAAGCAATTTTCAGAAATTATTTCTAACAAAAAAGAAACAGTTATCATTCTAGAACTCAAACCCACGTATACGTGTCTAACGATGTCCAAGACGGCGAAGTTATTACGGAGCCGCAGATGCTTCGAGGAAAAGCCTTCAAATGGATATTTTCTATAGCTACCTTGACACGGAGAGGGACAGTTTGGATGTACATATAAGCCTCTCCGGAACTTCAGATTCTTTAATTTTATTTTGCTTACGTTTGCCTTCACCTGTGGCGTCAGAGAGCACGATGAGAGCCAAAGCTGTTCACACCTTGGCATTTTAAGTTTTGAGTAGTCTTTGTCATTTCAAATGTCTTTTGTGGAGTTGCCCCGGGTATTGTATGACCACATAAACAGCACTGGTAAGCAGGGGCCCAAACGGGAAGAGGGCATTAAAACAAAATGTATGATCGGGTAAAGCAAAAGTGTGGCTTTTGAAAAATAAACTTTTCTTGATAATTCTCACCGATAACACTTTTTGATGAAAGGGAAGTATGGCATTCATGGCGCCGAGCCAGGAAAGCTTTTGACTCAATTCATGTTTGATCTGTGGCGTAGCTGATAAAGGATAGAGATCAATGACCGTGCACGCCACGATACCAACTTCGCAGTGACTGACCCGCCCACCCTCCTTACATACTTGTTTTCTCTTAAAAAGTAATCAAACGCAATTTTCAGAAATTATTTCTAACAAAAATATTACATTCTAGAATATATTGCAATATCTCTGAATGAAAAGTTCCATGAATCTCAAAACGATGTGTCTTGTTTTCCTTTGACACAGTATGTGATAATATACATTTCAGTTAGTATCTAGTTCCATGCAAAGTACAGCAGTATCATCCCTTTTAGTGTGCATAGCGCTGGTGTCAACAGTACCGTACGCTTCGTATGATAAACACTTTGAGTAAACCGTCACCCCCATCCCCTCAATTTTCCTCTAAACGGAATAAGTTAAACGCCCTCATACATGTATCTCCATTGTATACAAGCACTCGCTCACAAGGAGGCACCTTTCACAGGAATATGTGCTATAGCTATATGCCTATATGGGTAATCATATACAATTGTGCACTGGCACCACCGATGGCAAAGATCGGTACTTCCATTTTCGGTTGAAATGAAGTACATGTATTGTGTCTGTCACAAAAATAAGTCATTTCTCATTTTTGGTTGGATTTTCAGTGCTTATTGCTACAACATAACGTATATACAATTATGGAATGAGAAAAAATTAAATAGATGATTACTAAATACTTCTCCGCCAGTCTTAGCTTTTCGCGATTCAACAAGTGCCAAATCGACTCTTTTTATCTGATTGATTTGCACTCTAAAAAATAGAGTTATACACGTATCTTGTCAATTCAAGAATCTCCATACATAGAAGGTCCAAGTCTGAACGTCGATATATCGTACAAAACCACCACTATAACCTGCTATTAATGTCATAAGAACCCTTTTCGTGACCTTCAAAATCATCGGCATTCATCAACCAATTTCGGTCTATGTGATCTGGATCCGGTTGGGTCGTCACCCCTCCAACGCCTCCTATCGTACCGTTGCTATCAGGCCGATAGGGGATCTCCATCGTCTCTTCAAACTTGTTCTCCCCCACCGCCTGCCGCCATTTGTAGGTGGCGATTATGAGCAAACACGCGGTCAGCAGGTTCACACCCACCGCTATGGCGAACGCTAAGGCCATATTGAAGTCTGATATTTCCACCAAAGCGGCGGTACATGCTAAAAAAAGAGACAAATTATTTCATGTATTTCAACTATATTGGCTGACGACCTAACGTACTCAATATATTTTTAAGTATCTCGCATGATAGCTTATCATTTCTCAATGATGGGTGATCAATTGAAAATTTTTTTAAAAAAATTCAGGTCTTCCTTCCTTTCCTTGAATTCAAAATTCATTGAGCAATTAATTTTCATGAATCGAATGTTCCTCAGTGTTTTGTCTTTAGTTGTGCATTATTTTGTAGACCAGTTCCGAGTTCTATAGAAAAAAGAAGAGTCTTACCTGTGACTGTCGACGGTGCTTCTGTGGTAACTGTGGTGACAGTGACTGCTGGCGTTGTGTAATTCTGATTAACAAAATTAAAAGAAAACAATATAGTGGACAGTTTGCATATGTAGAACTAGCAGATAAATGGCAAAAATGAAAAAAAAAAAAAGAAAGAAATGAAACGAGAAAGGCCAATGATGATATAATCTTTGTAATGCTTCGTTAACTTAAAAATGCATTAACCAGATATTTGTTAATGTTTAAGTGTTTCGACTATAGCATTATTATAAATCATTAATTCTCGATTCAAGTCCTGCTTTCCATGTGGGTGATCATTTTAAATAAGAAAGAAACTTGATTTCTTAAATATTTTATATGTAAAATCCTACTCACCACTGCAATATCAGCCAGTCGCATGCCCACGGGAAAGCCGTACGTTTCTCTGTCCGCAGTGCCATATAACAAACCCATGAAAGTCGCGTTTGGATGGTACACTGTGTGAGCCCCACCGCTGACGTTTACCCACGTGCCAACGAAATTTGTCCCGGAGATGCGATTCCAGTTGACAGTGTGGGTAGAGTTCAGCGGCTGACCGTCCAGCCAAAGTCCATTACGGTCCTCCTCTCTGATGGCCAGTAGAAACAGGTGCGTGTAGTCGCCGCCGGTCACTCCGCCGCTGTAGACTGGGGTCAGAAAACTGAAAGAAAATGAAATATATTCAGCATATTACAGTATTTTGTCCCATGGTTCGGCAAAAAAGAAGCAAGAGTAGGCCGAAGTTTGGACGTATTTTTAGAAACATACAAAATGAGTTAAATGGACCTTTTTTCTTGTTTATATAATGCATTTCACAGTCGTTTTAGGGCCGCGTGTACAAACCTGTCTATGACCACGTGCTTCACTCCCGAAAAACAATGTTAACTTTTAGTCCCTGAATATTTACCTGTATTCTTGTGCAAACTGATCAGTGGGCGGCACTGTAATCATAGCGGGGTCGGCTGGTTCGTCAGGATCAAACTGGCTGTATACTATCTGCATCACCAGAATGGGCCGAGTGGCGCGTATGGAGGCATACATTGTGGACGAGATGTTCACCTGAACAAATTCTCCTCTGTCTATTGTCATCTCTGGCATTCCACTTATGGTAACAGCTGTATTATTCACACTTGCAATTATGCGAAATAGATCTCCGACCGTCCGCCTCGGTATTGGCACCGTCACAAATTCTGTGCCCCATGATCTGATTGGTGGAATCTGTTCCACGAGATGATCGCGTGACTCACTTTCGCCAACCGCGGTGCGGACGTTTCCACTAAACACTGCAACTGGATTGGTGGCTTTGATGAAGGTCCCCGTGAGGTCGCCCTGTGAGCGGATTTGAAGAGTGTGACTTCGATTAAAGGACGGCACCGTTAATTTGTCGCCGTTGCCGTAGTTTACTCCACCGTACGACACTTGCACTGGTGTTCCGCTGGGACTGGGGAAAGTTATTTCCAGGCTTGTCCCATCGACAACACCAACGATTCCAAACTCGCAATTCGTCGTTGGTGGGGCGTACGATACTGTGAAGTACTCCATGCCTAATGTATCCGTCGGGTACGCCAAGAAAGCGTCATTAGAAAACAGTTCCTTATTAACACCGTAAACGACAACGTCATCCGTGGCTTCCACCAAAATGGCCTTTCTTTCCAATCCTGTCTCCACCTGGCGGAGCTCTTTGGGGATATTGAACTGTTTCACGGTGCCTGCTGTCAGGCTGTCAGTGAGGGAGACCACTAACGGGTAGCCAGGAGCTATGACGTTGACGGAGACGTTTGGTTTGCTCGTGGTAACGTAAAGCTCGAGAGGAAAACCCGAGGGATTCTCAACAACATTGTCCATGTACATGATGAGGAACTCTTTGCCGGTAGTATCTGCTGAAATAAGCAAATGTAACAATAATGACTGTTATTATTTGAAACTGTTACAAATGAATAGAACAGCAGGAAGTGGACTTGATCCAAGGTAAAATAACACCAAAACACGTGGAAATCTAAATCAGTAACTTAATATCATTAGAAATTATCCGTTATATACAAACCTATAGGTGGTGCTGTAGGCATCGGTGTAGTCGTAGTAGTTGTAGGCGTGGTCGTTGTAGTAGGTGTGGTCGAAGTTGTTGTAGGCGTGGTTGTAGTAGTGGGCGTGGTCGTAGTAGTGGTCGTGGTCGTAGTGGGCGTGGTCGTAGTAGTTGTGGGCGTGGTGCACACTACTGTTGGGCAGAAACAGGTAGTGGTCGTGGCTATGGTGGTAGTTGAAGTGGTAGTTGTCTGAAAATTTGATGAAAAATTGTAATCACGGCGGTGGTTCTGTGTCAATTGCAAATGACAGATGTAAATCTGTACAGATGCATGATCTGTTATCACTCTCACAGTCTCATACACTCACAAATAAGATTTAGTGACCCGACTGCAAAAACCACTTGCGTCGAGCATGTGAAGCAAGAATGCACGGCGAACTTTGAATATGCTCTACCTGAGGGTTGTATTTTTACGGTCAGTAATTCATAATCATCATATATTCATCTATATATATTAGCCTTCTCATTTACTGGTTTACACAGAGTCTTGGACAAGGGCTCATAACAAGTTCAGCAGGCCACAGGCGAATATGTAAACAACGAACTGCAAACAAGTGCAAGCTAAATCTGTTGAATAAAAGCTCTCATGTGAATTAGGACAATGAATTTATAACACAATCTTACTTAAACTACTTAGAATATTTATTCGGTGAAGAAGGCAGGGTATTGAAAGGTACACATGTTGTTCAAACCTGTTGCATCACTCAGCCTTTTCAACCTTGACTAAAACGTATGAGTGGGAGGGAAGGAGGTCGAACAACTGAGCCCATATTTGACCTGATTCTTCTGTCAAATACGTGATATTAATATCCCATTTAGAGCGGTTCATAAGGTAGTTTTTGCCAAGGGTTTTCATTGCAACCTCAGCTTTTATCATTTCCTTCGAAAAATGACAATAGTTTCTGATTGCCAAGTTCGCTTTTTGAAATCGAACCTGGAAAGTAGACTCTATACACTAGATTCAGCGCTCCTCAAAAGCCGATTTCTTGTTGGGGCTCTTTTCACTTGGGAACTCTTCCACAAACATGTTTTTCTGTTAGTCTGCCTGTCTGATTGTCTGACTTTGCCCATTTTCTTGTTGAATAAGTAACCAAACCTAATAAGTAACCTACCGAAATATCCGTCAGCCTCATCCCCATGGGTAACCCGTACGACTCTCTATCTGCTGTCCCGTACAGTAACCCCATGAAGGTCACGCCGTTCACATGTGTCAAAGTGTGCGCCGCCGTCGTCACATTAAATGACGTGCCTACGTAACTAGTACCAGGAATGGGGTTCCACGTTACACCCGCTAACGGCTGACCGTCTAATCGCAGACCAGCGACCTGGGAAGCTTGGATCGAGAGGAGAACGTAGTTTTGTGTGTTAGCCTGCGTCGATACCGGAGTTAGAAAGTTATAATCAGACTGGAATTGTTCGATAGGAGGAATGATTATCATCGATGGATCGGCCGGCTCGGTGGCGGCTCGTGTTTGCTGGCTCTTCACAAACTGGACCACAAGAATAGGGGCGTTGGATGTAATGTGGTTATACACGTTGAGGTCAAATTCGTAATATTTTCCCGCGTTCAGGCTTATGACCTGACCGCCTCCTAAAGCATCGACAGTAATCAGTGTGTTGTCTCTGCTTGCTAGGATGCGAAAAACGTCCCCGACGGATCTGCCTGGAATTGGCACCGTTACAAACTCTCGGCCCCAAGACAACACTGGGGGCACCTGTTCCACGAGGTGATCACGTGATGGTTGCACGTCATCTGGCGGTCTGATTGACGTGCGCACATTTCCACTGAAAACTGCTATCGGTTCGTTGGAGAGGATGTGTGCCCCAGTAAGGTCTCCTAAACTTTGAGCTTGAAATGTCTCGTATTTGTTAAGGGAGACACTGAAAAACTGTCCACTGTATGTGGTGACGCCATTGTACGTGACATTAGCTGCCGGCTGGCCTGGAACCGCATCTGGCAACGTGATCAGGACGGTGGTGCCATCTACCGTTGCGGAGATACCAAACTCGCAGTTGGTTGTGGGCGGCGAGTAGCAGATTGCGTAATATTCGATCCCCAACGTTGTTAAGGGAAGAGCCAAAAACGCATCTGTGGAATACTGTAGTTTGTTCACTCCATAAGCTATGATATCACTGGACGCCGAAACTAAAATTGTCTTTACACCTTTGGAAGTGCCAGTTTGTCTCAAATCATCGTCAAATTCTAGCTTGAGTATATTTCCATTGGAAACCGTGTGTTTCGAGTTCAGAGCACCGACGCCGGTATATATTGGTGTCGTCACATTCACTGTGACGTCAGACTCCAACGTCGTCAGAAAAAGTTCCAATGGGAAAACGGGAGAACCCTCAGCGACAAAGTTCTGCATGTACATGATGACAAACTCTCTTCCACCAGCGTTCTGACCTGACAAAATCAAAGAAAATATGTATCTTGATTGACTGATATTATTCGTTTTATTTGTTTGATTTAATATCATAATGGAGCGTTATTACACAAAGAGACTTAATGTTGTGAATTATTCAAATGCAACTGCCAGGCGCTCTAACGCATTTCTCTTTGCATCATCATTTAATTTGTGTTTTTTACATGTATCTGCTCATAAAGATTATGTCACATTTTCTCGGTGTCAACCACACAGATTAGATCGGTGAAGTCATAAAACTACTTGTAGTAAAAAAAATATCCTTTTCGTATTACACTCATTTCTTCGTCAGCAAGACCGAAATCAATAGAGGAAGAAATACGGAATCAGAGCATAATAAATAATGAATTTGATGCTCGGAGATGGCGTCTTTAATTAGCTACATTCATTAATCACCCGGCCCCAGTATGCCTTAATCAACACTGAACCGCGTCCCACTGTGCTATAAATTATCCAGCAGTTCCACCTTGATAAGGGGGTTAATGAAGAACTAAATGTAATATGCGTGGTTATTATGAAAGCAAAAATGGACTTACTGTCTACGCATGCGTTCTGGAATGTCAACAGGAGGATTGCAAGGTATGGTATAGAAGGCATCTTCTTTGTCAGTTGAGAACTGCAATAAAAGAAAAGAACTTTCATCATACATGGAATACAGAAAAATGAAAGTTTAACAGGTCGTGTTGATATGCAGCATACAGGTTTCACGAAATCAAATAGAGTTACTTCTTTTCGGTGTTTTCTTTTCCTTTTCCCTTTTTATTTATTCGTATATCATACACCATTTGCCCTTTTACCGTTAATGTGGAACACAAACAGGCATTTCCCCGATATAAATAAGTTTTTCTACCATCATGGTATTATTTTGCTGTTTAAATTCCAAGTTAAATGTTTCAGTTGTCAATAGATACACCTTAATTCAGCTTTAGTCACATTTTAAAATCTTTCTAAAGTGTAATGACCTATAGCGAGCTCCCAGCTTCTTACCAGTATTTCCGTTCAAAATACTTAATACAAATCCTGTTAAAGCTTGAAAGTGGATTATGGTCGCAAATCAGAAAAAAATCCACTTTATTTCTTATTCTGATCTTTAGGACCTTTCATTCATTCAGCAAAAGAAAGTAAAAAAGTTTATCCTTCGCCACCTTTCGGAATATTTCACATCCAGAGCTCCACCCTCATGGCGCAGGCCTAGTGTGCTGTGGAGATTATTGGCGACCTAGCGTTACAGTAAATTAAGTAACATTTTCATCGAACGGACGGCAAGATAATGCCATATTCAAAACTTAAAGAGTTCACTCCGCTTACCTTAAACTGATCGTTTTAACCGTTTATGAAGGCTATCAAATGAGTGCACGTTTAAACAACAGGATTTCTCATCGATTATCCGTCAGTGTTTTCCGCGTTGAATGCCGCCCGAGTGTTGAAAGCAAACATTTATTCATTGTGCAAATTTACGCTCACTTTCTATTGTGTTTGCCTTTGTTAGAAAGCCTACACTAAAAACGTTGAATTTAGGGCACGAGTAGAGATCGGGGCGCGTCTGAAATGACTAAAGATTTAACTTGGTGTTACAACACACGCCCATAACGTAGTCAACTAAATGACTCAAGGCCAAGCTTGAATTGTGCAGTTATGTTGCAGGAAAGTTTAATCCTATTTCAGCAAATAATATTACATTATTTATAAGCTATTATTATTTTCTTTTGAAATGGTGAATACTCACACCTTTGTCTCGTTTGTAATAGAACACACACACACACACACACACACACACACACACACAAAAAGAATAACCTTTAAGGGATAATAACTCTTCGTATGAGATCTATATTTCACAATAAAAACATTGTGAACAACTCATAGACATATAATATATTCTGTTGTACAAGAAAAACGGCAGTTATGGCTATTATTCTGACATCTGAGCTTGTCTTTAGACTACATGACCTCCACTGATGGCTATACTCTGTTATAATGTCTTAAGAGATTATAACAAAAAAATCAAACTTTTTAGAAAAAAAAACAGGGACTAACTTAGAATGTAAAAATGGATTCATTAACCATTGGTAAGTACGGGAAAATTGTTGTTTACTCCAGGAAAATTCTTTTTTGGCGAAAACGAAGAGTTATTATCCCTTTAATCACAATCATCAAAAATTTTAAATACATAGCATCACTTTTGCATATCTACTACAACCCCAGTACTCCAGGAAAATTTTCTAATAATTCTTGCAGCAACCTTAATGAATCTGGGCCATTTTGTTCAAATGTGATAACAGAGAAGCCTGATGTTATACACTTGTCCAGCCAGGATGAGGTTCATCATGCTGTAGCTGTGTTTTTA